GGAGGGGGTGGGGGTGATTTGGAGGTGGAGAATTTTTACCCATAATTTCCTTCCCCAGCGAAGGATGAAAACCTAGATCTAACAAGACTGGTAGTCGCACGGCAACGTTTAACGTAAAAAATCACTCTCTTTAGTGCAGTCTTGGCACCGGAAAGTCCGCTAAGATTGGCCGAAGTGTTCCGCTTCAGGCGGGCTCTGACTACATCAAGCAGGCACTCTCATTTGAAGTGGGCGCCGGTTGAAGGTGATTTATTACCGCTTTAACTCACCTTCACCCCCCCCCTTTCCTCTTCTACTCCTGAACTGCCTACCATGGTCATGTTTTAAGATATAATTGTGAGAAAAAGATTCCACAACGTAAATGGAGTTTAACAAAATAGGAGAAGACAGGGATGTCTTGAAAAACAAGCTGTTTCAGGAACACACACTCAAAAAGAAGGAAACGGGCTATGAAAGCTATATTGATCACAGAGATAGCTCTAGTGGAATAAATCCACCACCCCTCTTTCTACAAAGCATGTTTTTTGTCATAAGGATACATAAAGTCGTCCAATATCAGCAACAATACTAGAATAGTCCTACCTAATCTATTGAACATATTTCACTAGACAAAGTAATTGTTCTTCAAAGGGAAGGGTATATTCTTTGGAGACAGGGTATTTAATTTGAAATAAGGCACGTTAAGCGTTTATTCAGCACATACTGAAGATGTTATAGCAGGTGCACCGGAAAGTAAATCAGACGATATAATTTCATGCTGTCTCTCGATTGAAAACATTCATAGATTTCGAAGTAATTTCATATCAAGTTAATGGAAGCGATGTTAGGTACGTTAGCGTCACGACCTGCTGTCGTGAACTTGGTTTGAACCCTCAGTGAGGCCTCCTTGAACTTGGGTTGTTTCCATAACTCTCCACCGACTTGGCTCTTTCATAACAGAGATGAATGTGAATCTGAAACCCTACCTATTATACACTCTTACTTAGGTAAAGGGTGCCTTAAACTCATCGTGCAGACATCCACTACAGAATTCGTGGGTAATCAGCCCAGAAAATCCCTCCAGATTTCCTGGTTTGCAA